ACCCCAACACGGCCCAGTGGAACTGCAGAAGGGTCCTAGCAGGCATTGCTATGAGTATATGGACCCAATTTAGTACATCAGTCGTCAGAATATTGTATGTACGTGCTGCTCTTGTCGCAATGCCCTGTATGGCAAACACCCACACTTTCATACGCTATTAGTTGAGCCCAGGGGGAACAAATGGACGGCCACTCATGTTGGCAGGTAACTCTCTTCCGACACCTAGCCGTTTCGCTACTCAGGAGGTCGAAGGGTGCGTTCTTGGCCTCATGTATCATGTATTGCGACTGAAGTGCGCACTCTACCAGGTCAAGAGAGTGCTCATCCGAGCCATCATTCAGAACATCATTTCTTCTAGGATCACATCTCTGACGAATATCTGTTTGGAAGAAGGGTTGAATAAACTGATGAAGCACCTTTGTTCTGTGTTGTGCAGGTGGAAGTTGGTGAGGGATTGTTTGGCGTTTCCAATGATATACTGAGAACCCTATAAGTCACATGACTATGCCTCCCTTCGCATTAAAAGGGCAGCGTTTCTTTCGAGTTCCTGGCAGGCGACAAACCAACTCCCATCTCAGCCGAGACAGGTGGAAATCACAGGAAACACTACCGGAGACGATTTTCGGCCTTGTCTACACCTGTGCTCGTCAACTCCCTTCTCTGCCTGGGGACATTAGTCAATCCCCTCCTGTTGCCAATGTCTTCCAGATAGCAGTCATTCCAACCCTATTCTCCAAGAATATGACACACCGACCGACGTCAAGATTATTTCTTTTCATTGGCCTTGCGCTGTTCTTCGTCCTTACCCTCACATTCCTCCGCCAAAACTCTCCATTAAGTCCCGAAGCGCGTGCGCCGGGCCACGTTGACAGGACGATTCCCAATGTTGAGATCTCGGATAAAATGTTGCACGGGGCGGTGGTAACTTCGAAAATGGGCAATGAGACTGCGAAGTAAGGGATAAATATCGATGCTTTGGGGCCTCAGCGCTATTCTTCGTTTAGGTTGTTGTGGCAATTGCCATTCTCTTTTGCGTATGTTGAGTGAGCTAACAAGGGGGGATTTTTACAGAGCGGAACTTGGCAGATCAGCCTGGAGAGTGCTGCATACCATGATGGCGCAGTTTCCGGATAAACCATCAGCGGAGCAACAAGAAACGCTACGGTCATTCATTTACCTATTCTCAAGATTGTATCCTTGGTGCGTTCTTTGTCTCTTGCTGAATCTTATGTAACGAATGAGGCCTAAATATTAATGACCATGGTCCGCTAATCAATACTCTCTTCCTCCTGTTTCAACCATAGTGGTGAATGCGCTTCCCATTTCCAGGCGCATTTGGCGAAGTTTCCCCCGCAAGTGTCATCGCGCTCCGCAGCCGCTGCATGGGCATGCCATGTTCATAACGAAGTGAACAAAATGCTTTATAAAGATATCTTCGACTGTAGCAAGATTGGTGATTTCTACGACTGTGGCTGCGCGCACGACGAGGGTGATAGCGAAGATGGTGGACAGAATAGCGTCATGAATCCCGTGAAAAATGCCGATGACCCCCTCTCAGGCAAGGCGGAGATGAGCGGAGGCTCAGTGAAGAAAACGCCGGATGGGAGGCAGATTAATGCTCAATCGTTTCCTCCCGTGGAAATCCACCCTGAACCGTAAGTCTCTCTGTACTTTCAAACTAAAGTCTTAACTGCGATCATTGGGCTGCGATACATCTTTCATTCATAACCATTGGTTATATTGACAACGCATTTTAGGGCAACAAATGGTTAACGGTATATTCGGCTTTGAGCGACTGAAATTTTATTGAATCTCTTGGGCAGCAGACCCAAAAACTGTGATGTAATTTTACTTGTTATATACGTGCACTGGCGTTCGGGTTTTTGATATCCATGTTTTCAACCATTGCTTATTCATTCTCAAGCATGAAGCATCATGGTTTTTACTGAAATAGGCAAACAGGCATCATTTAACAAGACAATACCAGCAAGCAAAGGCAAGAAATGCGCACATTCTCCCTTTTGGGTCCGTTTAGCATAGCGAGAAAGGCACAGTGCGAACAAGGACGAGAAGTATTTCCATTATCGATTGTAATGGTGTAACCGAAACTGCGTGAAGGGATTTTAAGTTTGATACCAGACCAAGATACAAACTGATGATTATTTCGTCAATAACTCGGGCAACGCCCGAAGCTAAGTTTATGACAGGATACATATTGCAAAAGCTCGCTACTTCAGCACATCTTGCTCTCTATTTTCACCTCACTCCGGAGGATCCTAGCAGAACTAGCTGCCTGGAAGCGGATACTTCAGAACACGTAATTCTGAAGTGTATGTGGCTCGGTGCGTTCGCAACTCGCACGCTCTATTCATCGAGGAAACCTCCATATGCACAGTATGATTGCCCCAGCCCGCCGCATGATGTGCACCTGGTAGATGGCCGCGGCATCGAAGGGCATTGAAGTTGAGGATGAACATGTGGAAGGCCCTCAGGGTGTGAGAAGAGCTGGTGTGCAGCCGAGGGGAGGGCGGCATAGGAACAGCACCCAGCGACGCATCGACCCGCAGCGGCACGTAGGGGAATTTTGACATGTACAGGGATAGGCTTGTTGAGGCTAATTGGGTGGGCGTTGTTTAATGGCCCAGCTCGAGGCTGCCGCCGTATCTCATGAATGTCAACATCGACGACAAAACCACAGGTCCCTTTTCTCAACATATTATGCCTGTTGGGATTATCCTTCGCTTCTCTGAAGACGTCATCTTTCAGATGAGGATATACAAGGCATCACCAGCCACATAAGCATGACATAGCTCTGTCACGTCTTGCTGCTTTTTCCAGTATCACGGACATGTAGCACACGTGTGTGATTGGAAGGAGTCAGCCATTAAATGCAGACGGTTGGCGGAGAACTAGATCAAGTTTGATGGGACGTATTGGGTACTGCGGACAGAGTAGTAGTATAGACATGACAAGATTTTTAGGAGGTTACCGCTTGTTGTTGGTGTCGGGCTCGTTCCCTGTATGACCTCACTCGAGGTTAGTGGAATGGCTTGCCTCTTATTCGCGGTTCTCTGGACATCATGGCACAGAGATATGAAAAGAGATGGGACCAGGGTGGTTCCATGAAGTGGGAGTTCCCTGTGGACGGGTCTACATTTGAGTTATCTTAACCCTAACTCATCCTGGTGTAACCCTAATTATGTATATAAACTTTCTACGGAGTACTCCGTACAACCAATAAGTTTGCTGGCTAGGCAATAAGACATTTCGATTCACATCTCTGTTGAATCTCCAAACAAAGAGAGAGAGAGACGGCTCATGGGCGTATAGAAACCACCGATTACAGATTATCTATTGCCTGCCTTCCTGTCACAATGATTGATATGAGTGATATGCAGCGCTCGTCGTAATATATATACTACAAAGATGTGGATATAATACTGCGCAGTGAGCAGAGCGAGTGTGTCTTGCTTGTCCTGCGCCTATAGAAGTATCGAATAATTGAAGATTCACCAATCAACCTTCAATAGTCTATATAGAAGCCATTGGGATTTCGTGGCAACTTGATCCACAAACCCGACAGGTTCAAACAGCTGTTCAACACTATGGGGCATCCTCTGAAGAAAACCGCACTTGGCCTTCTTCATTCTGCACATAAGCACCACCGTCTACTTGGCGTGATTCTGCATCTCGACCCCCGCTGTCGACGAAGTAGTCGGCTCCGGCGCCTAGAAGGCTGACCCGCCCTCCCGACGCGTGTTGTTTTCAAGAACACCATGAGAACTGGTACTCTGTCTATAGGTTGTGTGCGTCGTCCATCGTAGGAGTGGTGGCGATGTTGCAAGAATTCGTGGAAGCTTTGGAGCAGCACCACCGTCTCCAGCCGATCACGCCGAACCATCTTGGAAGTTGACCGCAATCCCCGAAGGCGTTCTTCGTTTACGGGGAAGGGCAGTTAGCGCTTCCGCCCCCGTCCCCACCGCAGGGGATGGCTCGGCAGCCGAGCAATATATCCTTGCCGCCCCGAGACAAATGAGGCCATTTCTCCACTGTTCCAGGATACATCGAAATCTCGCATCACAATCGAAGCTGGGAAGCCCAAGCGCGATTAGTATTATTCCGTCGTCATGAGTCACCGAAACCCTGAAGCTGCTGCAGACCCTGCTGCAGCCGCCACCCCCCTGCCCAAGCTGCCCGTTATCGACGTGGATGATGATTCTGCAGATTCCACCTTTGGAGACGAGTCTGACGCCTCCGCTTACAGCGCCTCAGTCACCTCCTCAATTCTAAATTACGAGTATGCCAACGGCCGCAGGTACACTGGCTTTAAAAAGGGGAAATATCTTCTCCCCAACGACGAAGCCGAGCAAGACCGTCTGGACCTTGTCCATCACATCTTTCTTCTACTACTCGACGGGAAACTCGTTCTCGCGCCCATCGGTCCCAATCCCCAACGGGCACTGGATCTGGGGACCGGCACTGGCCTCTGGGCTCTGGATTTCGGAGATGAATTCCCTTCCTCCCAGGCCATAGGGGTCGACCTGAGCCCGATCCAGCCGACTTGGGTGTCTCCCAATGTTAAATTTTACGTCGACGACATCGAAACCGAATGGGGATACAGCCGTGAGGAAGCTTTCGATATCATCCACGCACGCCAAATTGGTGGGAGTATTGGGGATTGGGGCAAGTTGCTATCGCAGTGCATGGAACACTTGAAACCAGGAGGCTGGCTGGAGATTCAGGAGCCCGAGGCGTGGATGTCGTCTGACGACGATACCATGGCCAGAGCCACTGCCGCCTCCGAGGTCCAGATTCTCTGCGATGCTGCGGCGAAGAAGTTCGGGAAAGAAATCAACATGGCACATAAGTTTAAGCAAATGCTTATCGACGCGGGATTCGAGGATGTGCAGGAGAAAATCTTCAAGGTATGTTTCGTCGTTTCTAGGATTTCTAGCTTCCAATTTGCTTCCTGATTGTATCTTCTACTATCCTTCCCTCACCCTTCCCTCTAAGCCTAGTTACCCTTATCACTCTACTTACATCGTCTCCAATGAGTAGGTTCCAATCGGGCCTTGGCCCAAAGACCCGAAACTCAAAGAACTCGGACGCTATTTCCTTGAAAATGTTATTCTGGGTGTTGAAGCGTACGCTTACGGCTTCATTGGCAAAATCCTCGGATGGAGCCAGGCCGAGTGCCAGGTCCTCTGCGCGAAAGTCAAGGCGGAGTTTCGCGACCGGAGAAACCACATGTATATCAAAACCTATATTGTCTATGGGAAGAAGCCCGGCTAAGGGCAGACAGTACTTGGAAAGGGCTTTTTCTTATTTATACCTCATTCGCATTTTGCATCTATGCTTTATACCTTCTGTTTATTTTTCATTATCATGATGACGAAACCCTTCTCGGACATACCTACCTCCTCTTGATATCAGCGCGCTATGAACTGGCACTGTTTTCCTGTCATCGAGTGTTTCATTTTGTTTAACGGCCCGGAGGTATTCAGCATATTTATCTCTCATATATTCTTAACCCTCATGTTTACGTATCTATTCATATATAATCGGTTTCTAGGCATAAACTGCAAGTGGCTCTCTCTCTCCCTGCCTAGTGACTCACGTTTTATATTTTGGTTATTTCGCTCCGTTTGGCTCCTCACTCCCACGACATAGCTTTGTACAGCTTTTGCTGCAACACATAGGATGCCGTATCTAAAAGTCGCCGGGATATCCACTCGGATGCGAGTGATACCGGATCGTCTGCTGTCTGGGTTGGGCAAAGCTATTTAAACCACAAAGCTTTGCCTTCATAGCTGCACCAAGATACTCTCAATCGCGAGCTGTTGCCTATTCTCGAGTTTTGTTCGAGAGGGCGAACAGCCACCAGCTCGACCTGTTAATCATGGCGAACCCCAACCCTCACGACATGGTCACGTTGGCCCCAGATTCTCGAGAGACGGATCTTGAGTTGGCCGCGATCCCAACACTGGCTAATAATGATATCGCCAGCAGCAAAAGCGCAAAGGAGTTTGATACGGACCCCTTCCTGGTCGCCTTTGACCAACATTACGACGCCGAGAACCTGTTGGACTGGCGCGACAGCCGCAAATGGATGGTGACCGATGTTCTCTCCGCCACTGGCTTCAACCGAAGTATGGTGTCGACCATCATGGTCCCCGCCCTCTCCACCATTGCGACCGACTTGGACATGTCTGCCACGGAATCCGCCATGTCGCTATCAATCTACCTCTTGGCTAGCGCCTTTGGCCCGCTAGTCATGAGCCCGTTGTCCGAGATGTATGGTCGACGGGTTATTTTACATTCCAGCAATATCTGGTTCCTGGTTTGGAATGTAGTTTGCGGTTTCGCTGCGACGAAGGAGGTGCTGATTGCGTCGCGGTTTTTTTGGCCGGCTTTGGCGCGAGTGGCATATATGCGCTTGCAGGTGGCGTGATGGGTGATATCTGGAGACCCGAACAGAGAGGGCGTGGTTTGGCAATATATCTAATACATCTCCTAGGGCGTGGTTTGGGAATATATCTCCTAATTTCGCTACCTAGCTGCGGCGGTTGGTGAGTTGAGTTATTCCGCAATGGCGTCTTTCCTTTCACAGTGCTTTCCAGATTGAACCCGTCTCCAAATACTGCCGATGAGCTAATGGACTCTTTCCTAGGGCGCATTATTGGCGGCTTCATTGCTGAACGCTCACACTGGCGCTGGATATTCTGGTCCACATCCGCATTCCAAGCTGCAATGACCATCATGTCGTTTTTCTGCTTCCACAAGTCGTACTGCCCGCATATCCTCCGAAGGCGTGCCGAACGTCTTCGCAAGGAGACTGGGAACAACCATTTTCACACAGAAAGCCAAAGGTTTGACGGAGGACGGTCGGCTGCTAGGGTTGTCATGCGCGCCATTACAAGACCGCTCCGTTTGCTCATGTTTCACCCCATCATCCAGGTTTCGTCGATCCTTCGGGGCTTCCACTATGGCATCCTGTACATCACCCTTTCAACGTTCTCCACCCCCTGGATCTTTCATTATCACCAATCCCTCGAAATCAGCGGACTACACTACATCGCCTGCTCGCTGGGCGAACTGGCCGGCTCACAGGCTAGTGCTCGGTTAATGGATCATTTCTATAAACACAGACAACAAGGTCGAGGATTTTTGCCTGTATCTCTCATCCCGCTGATGATTCCTAGAACCATTGCTGCGTGGTCAAGCGCGTTGATCTAAGGGGTGGACCGCTGAGTATCGAGTGCACTGGCTGGCGGTTGACATGGGAGTTTTCGCCCTGTTGGCTGGAATGATTTTACTCCCTTGTTTAAAGCCCGTCTCTAGTTTGCTTGCTGTTGGCCTCCAATCTATAATCGCTTTCATCTCATAATTGCTCATCCCTCGGCTTCCTCTATAGTAATGGCCTATGTTATCGACTCGTATGGGGGGAACACACCAGCAGCGCCATGGCAGCACAGCAGTTTGTAAAGAGTCTAGCAGCTTTCCTGTTCCCTTTGTTTGCCCCTAGTATGTACCATGCGCTCGTGTATGGATGGACCAATTCAGTACTTGCGTTGGCCCGGTTCCTCCTCACGATCATGCTCCCGCTATCTGTGTGGAAATACGGTGCGCGATTGAGGGCCAAAGCAATCTCGACCTATTGAACAGGCTGGTTATTCACCCTATCAACTCCCGTCGATGAGCGATCCTAACTGGCCAATGATACTCCAGTTGGAATGTCACTTTGAATGTCATGATCTAACATTAACGCAGCAAAAAAAACCTAACCTATGCGTGAAATTTTATCATCGATCGAAACATTTCGAAGAAGGATTCAACCCCCCCTCTCCTCTTCAATCTCGGTCCTCAACAAAAGGCCCATCCGTATGCCGTGTGACTCCCTCCCTGACTCTAAGGGCAGAATAGTGACCTGCCGAATGAGCAAACCCATAAAGCAAACATGCAGTAGCCATACAAAGACAGTCAACCAACCGACCAACCAACCAACCACCTCCAATCGCATCTCCCATTTTCATTTGCCACCCAGCAATCCATCCCCGCCCATCCCAGCACAGCGGAGTGTAACTACGCAGTAATAGTTGAAACGGCCACTAAGTAAGGAGTTACTCTGGCCACTGCTATATAGCTGTGCAGTACGTGCATAAAAAGTACAAAGTTACATGGTCTGCACTCATCCGGTTCGGTCTCAAGTTCAACAACAACACGATCATTATGATTTTATTGCATGTTTTTTTTTCCCCCGCAAATTTTTGATCTTGTTATTATTGCTATTCTTATATTGAGAGGGGAGGGGTCCGTGGCGCCGGCTGATCTGCTCCCAACCAAAATTCAAAGTCTAGGTTCGCTTTTTTGCAGATTACGAGGGCGGGGCATCCAACATGTCACTATTGCGTCGGTAAATAATCACGTCATGGACCAATATGGAAAAAGAGGATGCTCGGCAATGACGGGTTGGGTATGAAGTGGTCGCTGGAGAATGTGCTGTGGCCTGAGTTACTACGAATAAATAACTAAACTGACAGAACAACTAGGTAGTATAGATCAGGTTATAAGATAAGTCTTGGCCTGA